AAAACCCTGGGCCCAACAATTTAAGTTTTGGTCCTTTAGTTTTTTGGCCCATTTCCCAGAGTTTTTTTTTTTCCGGGGGGGGGGGGGGGGGGCGTACTCTTATGTTACGCGCGGCTTAGCGGTTAGACGTGGGGGTAGAAAGAGGCGACAACAGCCGAAAGGCGACGAGGCCAGCCGGGTGGTAAGTTCAAGAAGAACAACTACAATGTGTGCAACACATTGGTTTCTTCTCCGGCATATAAAATTGCGTGCAACGACTAGAGTTTTGTTCTCCGACAGACATACCAGCGGGCGGGCGGGCGGGGGAGGGGGGGGCAGGCGGCAGTTTCGTAATGTCTCTTTCTCCTCTCTCTCTCTCTCTTTCTCTCTCTCAAACATATAGGACGAAGTACGAAAACCGGCGATATTTCCGGGCGGTAGGGTTAGGGTTGCGGCCTACGTAACCCCCATTGCCTCACTATTTCCACGAAGGCAGCCCGAAACATCCCGCCGAAGCTATAACCTAACCTGCATGCACTTCGTCTCCGGGGCCGGCATCGGCGCGTGCTCTTCTCTGATGCGCGTCAGCGGGGCCCACTCGGTCACCATCTCCGCCAGCACCGGGGCCGCCGCTGCCGCCGCCGCCTTCTTCTTCATCCTCCGACGCCCGTCCTCTGTCTCGCCTCGCCGGCGCCACCGCCACCGCCACCGCGCCTTCCCCTCCTCTTCAGACTGCAGCAGCAGCCTCTCCCGGCCACCGTTGGCTCCTCCTCCTCCTCCTCCTCCCTTGGGCCCCTTCTTGTTGCCCTTGACCGACGTCGGCGCCGGCTCCAGCCGCGCGGAGAAGACGAACCGGACCGAGGGGGCGTCGTCGAACGCCGCCTCGGGAATGAAACCCGCGGGGAGCGCCGCCGCCGCTAGGCCATCGTCTTCTTCCCCTCCCCCTTCCTCTTCTCCGACGGTCCCCTCTTCGTCCTCAAGCGCGTCGACCCTGCGGCGTCCGCCGCTGCCGCTGGTACGGGACTGCTGTTCGCCACCTTCGCCAACGCTAGCGCCTTCCGCCACCACGTCGGACAAAGGCCGTGCCGCCTCCGCTGCCGTCGCCGGCGAATCGTCACCCGTAGGCACGTTCTGTCGCCCGCTGCCGCCGTTCTCCAGTCGACGCCGCCGCCGCCGCTCCCCGCCGCCGCCACCGGCGCTACCGCCTCCGCCCACGTCGCCGCTACTAGTGGCGGTGCCGGAGGCGACTAATCCTTCGTCATCTCCCGCCTCCCCCACGGCATCGCCGCCGTCCTCGTTAGCCGGCTGACCCCCTTCCTCTTCTGAACCTTCTTTGGAACCTTCTGTGGAACCTTCTTCGGAACCTTCCTGAGAATCTTCCTGAGAATCATCCTGGGAATCTTCTTCTGGCGGAGGGAAGCGGCGAGCGGTTCGCCACGGCGGCGGGGCCACACCCCTCTCTGCGCGGTTGCAGTATACCCGTATACACACACACACACCCACACACGTGCCGGGAGGTTGGACGTGTCCAATCAGAAAAAAGGTTCGGGCATTTTTTGTTGCGGATATTAAGACACGACTAAATAAGAAGCGGTTTTTTGGTTTAACTAAAAAGTAGAACAAGAGCACTTCCGACACAAGGCCCGTGGCAACCAACACATTGTGTGAAGCTCGAAAAAAGCAGGGCGCGACTCTACTCGACCGCTCTAAACCGTGTGTGTGTACTATTGATTAGCATCGCCCGCGCCAACCGTGTGTGAGGGGGGTGGGGTGGGCTATGACACATCGAGCATACAGATGCGCCCTCCTCCTGGGAGTGACCGTTTTCAATTCTCTCGTTGGTCCAGCAAAGAGACCGAAAAACAGCGGGGGGGGGTTGCGGATTCACTGAAGAACAGGACACACGTCGTCGGGACTTAGGCAGAGATGCGATGGCGCATTCTACGGAGCGTTAAATCCAAACGTTCAAACAAACCCCACTGATGTGACCCACACCCCAGAAGTACTCACATCCCGCCCCAAGCGACATCGATAGGATATATAGGGCACGAAAAACATTTTTGAGCTACCTTTGACAACGTTCGAAGGAACGATTGGCCTCAGGAGTACCCCCATCCCGCCCCAAGTGACATCAATAGGATAGATAGGGTACGGAAAACATTCTTGAGCCGCTTTTGGGCAACGTGTAGGAAGGAGCGATTGGCCATCGGTGATCGGTCCGATGCTCCGTCCTCTCGAGGACCAACGGTCTTACCGCTAAAACATCAGTACCCCCCCCCCCCCCCCCGCCCCCTTTGGTCCCCAAGGTTTTAGGGGGCGGAGTTTGGGAGGCCCCCCGCATCTCCCTTCTCCTCGGGGGACGGGGCTGGGTTTTTCGAGAACGCTAGGGGTTGGGGGGGTTCGGGGGGGGGGGGGATTGGGGGCCAACCCGGGGGGGGGGGGGTTTCCGGGGGGAACCCCAAAGGGGGGGGGGGGGTGATTGAAAGCCGGGGGGAAGGGGGGCGGGAGGGGGGCCCCCCCCTGGAGGGGTCTTTGGTGGGGTTTTGAAAAAAGGAAACAACAAAAGCCATTAGGGGACATTAGGACCACCACCACCACCACCACCCAGAGGGGGGGAAATTGTTGGGGGTCGGGGTTTTGTTTTTTAAAAAGTTTTTTGAGGGCCAAAGAAAAAATGGGGGGAAAACAAGGGGAAAAAATATAAAAAA